CGGAGGAGAGGAGCCTCTGAGATCCAAAGCAGGATGGGGGGATGTCCCTTCTCTGTGGGCAATGTGGGGGGATGTCCCTTCTCTATGGGCAGGATGGGGGGGATGTCCTTTCTCTATGGGCAGGATTGGGGGGGGAATGTCCTTTCTCTATGGGCAGGATGGGGGGATGACCCTTCTCTATGGGCAGGATGGGGGGTTGGATGTCCCTTCTCTATGGGCAGGATGGGGGGATGGCCTTTCTCTATGGGCCTCTGCCCAGAGCGCAGCAGACTGTGCCCCAAGCCCGGACCCCCAGAGCCCCTTTGCTTTGCCGTGTGTGTGTGCATGTGCCCGTGCACACACTCCTGGGTGTGCATCCTGCCCTCCGCTGTCACTTACGGCCTTGACGCTTCCTCTCACTTGTGCACAGCGACACAGAGGCCCAGTGTGAGGTCATGCAGGAAATCGTGGACCAGGTCCTGGAGGTGAGGACGACAAACCACCGCCTCGGGGAGGAAGCGGCCCGGCCTGCCCAGCTCCCAGCTCCCCAAGCTGCTGACTTCCTCCTTCCCCTCGCCCACATGGGTCCCCTCTGATGGGGGAGGGGCAGGTTGATCCTGGAGGTGCACCCTGATGGGGCTCTGGGCATTGTGGGTAGTCAGGCTGGGGCCCGGTGGTGACACCCCTCCGTGTGTCTCCCTACGCAGGAAGACTTCGACTCGGAGCAGCTGTCTGTGCTTGCATCCTGCCTCCAGGAGCTCTTCAAGGCCCACTTCCGAGGGGAGGTGCTGCCCGAGGAGGTCACAGAGGAGTAAGGCTCATCCCCCGCTCCCCTTTCCCGGCCTCCGTGAGCCAGAGCTGCTCTCAGAGCCCAGGCCAGCAGGCCCCTTGCTGTGCACTTGAGAAAAAGAACCTGTTGTCCTGTTTCTATTCTGTGTCCTGATGCATTTAAACAAGGCCTGCTGAGCGTGGAGCTTACTGGGGCAGTGCGGGGGGGGGGGGGTGATGAGCACCCCACTCTGTGTGCCCTGGACCCGCCCTGCAGGGCAGGCATCTCACTTGAAATGATGGTGACAGCCCAGATGTGGCTCCAGGCTAGGAAGCTGCCTTCTCTGTGACCAGCTTCCTGGGCTGCAGGGTGTTCCCCTGTGGTTTGGAAAGGAGCAGGCCAGCCCTCTGCCTCACGCAGGTCACCACGCTGCCCGCCCGCAGCCCAGCCTGTCTGCTTATGTGCGCTCTCACGTCACCTTCCTCTTGTAGGTCCCTGGAGGAGTCTGTGGGCAAGCCTCTCTACCTGATATTCAGGTAAGCGCCCTGCTGCCGGGGGCACTGCTGTGCCATCCGTCCCCTCTGTGGCATGCACGTGCTCCTGTCCTGGGGTGATGGGACCCCCTCTCCAGGAAGGACGGGGTGTGCAGCGGCACGGACATCCCCGCCCCCCGACACTCCCTGGGAGAGCGTGCCCCAGGTAGCTGCCCCCTGTCCCCACCCCCAGGAACCTGTGCCAGATGCAGGAGGACAACAGCAGCTTCTCTCTGCTCCTGGACCTGCTCTCTGAGCTGTATCAGAAGCAGCCCAAGATTGGCTACCACCTGCTCTACTACCTGAGGGCCAGGTGGGTACTACCTCAGAGCCCAGGTTGGGGAGCACCCGGGGAGCACGTCCCGTGTATGCTGGCTCCTCACCCTTGGCTGTTGTCACCAGGGAACTCCATGGGTTCTCTTAGTAACAGCTTTAACGTGTACAATGCAGTGGTTTTTAGAATATTCCTAACACTGTGCCACTGTCACCACAGTCTAAGGTAGAATATTTTTATCAGCCTGCAAAGAAACCCGTGCCCATTAGCAGCCACTTTCCCGTTCTCCCTTCTACCCAGCCCTGCAGCCACTCATGTACTTTCTGTCTGTAGATTTACTCATTCTGGGTATTTCACATAAATGGAATCGGCCAGTGTGACTTCATGACTGGCTCTTTTCACTCAGCATGTCTTTGAGGCTGCGCCCCTCGTCGCGTGTATCGGTACTCTACTCCTTTTTTGGGACCGAGTAGTACTCCGCTGTGCGGACGCACCGCAGTTTGTGTTACCCATTCACCTAGCGATGGACATTTCGGCTGTCCCCACTTCTTTGTCTCTTGGGAACAGAGCTACCGTGACCGTTCATATACAAGTTTTTGCGTGAACGTATGTTTTCAGTTTTCTTGAGTATAAAACCCAGCAGTGGAATTACTGGGTCAGATTGGTGACTCTATTTTTAAATTTGTGAGGGACGGCCAAACTATTTTCCGAAGTGACTGCAATAGTTGTACATTCCCACCAGCAGCAGCGTGTGAGAGCCTTACTTTCTCCACTCTCCCCAACACTTCCTGACGTCTGGCTTTTTGATGTCAGCCATCCTCGGGTGTGGAGTGGTGTCTCACTGGTTTCTCTGGCTCATGATGTGGGACATCTCCTGTGCTTCTTGGCCATTTGCGTATTTCCTTTGGAGAAATGCTGAAATTCTCGCCTGTTTTTAATTGGGTTATTTGTCCTCTTAATGGTTGAGTTTTAACAGTTCTTTATATATTCTGGATTCAAGTCCCTGATCAAATACATGGTTTGCATGTATTTTCTCCCATTTCGTGGGTTGTCTTTTCACGTTCTTGATGGCATCCTTTAAAACACAAAAGTTTTAAATTCTGATGAGTCCACTTTACTTATGTTTTTGTCACTTGTGCTTTTGGTGTCGTGAAGATTGACACAGTGTTCTTCTAAGAAGTGTATCGTTTTAGTTTTTTTTTTTTACCTTTAGGCCCCCAACCCATTTGAGTTATGTTTTGTACGTGTTGTGAGGTAGGTGCCCTCCTTGCTCAGAGCGCAGAAGGCAGGAGGGAAAGCTTCCTCCAGCCTCACCTGAGCCCGCTCCTGTTCTGTCACCGGTCAGAACCCTGCCAGGGGCACGGGGGAAGGAAGGGCAGGAAGAAGACAGCGTCCGTGGAGTAGATCAGCCCGGGATCTCAGGCAGCACGGGGATGCTCGGGGCCCTGTGGGGAAGAGGCCGGGTGCTGGCCTGGCGGCTGGCTCAGACCCGGCTGCTGGTCTTACAGCAAAGCTGCCGCAGGAAAGATGAACCTGTACGAGTCGTTTGCCCAGGCCACCCAGCTGGGCGACCTGCACACCTGCCTGATGATGGACATGAAGGCCTGCCAGGAGGACGACGTGCGGCTGCTGTGCCACCTCACCCCCTCCATCTACACCGAGGTCAGTGCCTCTGCCCGCATCCATGGGGGGCAGCAGTGCCCCCGTCTCAGTGCCCCGCTGGACCCTCCCTCGCCCACCCTCATGTTCTTGGAGGGTCGTTTCTTCCCACAGCAGTTGCCCTCCCTTCCACCTCTCATTAAAGGTGGGAAAATGTCTGAAACCTGCCAAGTTCCTATGCTGTGCTTTGCCTGTGCCTCTCCGCTTGGCTTCTCGGCTTTGGCCGCCGCCTCTGAACCTAGGACGGGTCCCCAGACCAGGTCCATGCTCTCAGATCTGAGCCCCGCGGCCAGCTGAGGGCTCCCCCTAGATTCTCTCGAACAGTCGCCAAAGCCCGGGGCCGGAGCGCACTCAGCTTTCGCTTCCCCTGCTCACTCGCAGTCTTCTCCAGGAACTGGGACCAGAGGACGGAGCTGCTCTTCCTCCTCTCGGCGAAAGTTCCCCGGAACTGGGAAATCAGGGCTCGGGGTGTGGGTGTGGCGGGGACTGTGATCTCAGCCAGAAACTGCAGGGAGGAGAGGTGCGGGTGCCCAGGATGGCAGTTTCCTCCCCGTGGCCTCCCCAAAAGGGGTCCTGCCCACATCCCTCACGCGCCCTAAACACTCACTCTCCACACCCTCTCTTGGCGAGGGTCAGTGTAGAACTGCCACGCGTATTGTCACCGCTCCCACACACAACGCACGGTCACGTCCAGTCTCTTTGGGCCCCGGCTTGGTCCCTGCCTAGGTTCCCCTGCTCTCCTCATGCACGCACTGCCCCCAGCGTGCTCAGACCACAACCCGGGTTCTTCAAGGGCCAGAGCTGCCGGGAGTTTGCCTAGGGGTTCGCGCTGGGCTCTGTCTGGCTGACCCAGCCCCCCTGAGGCAAAAGCAGGGGTTCTGCCCTGCACCCCTGCCCTAGCTCCCCTCTTTCTCTCCAGTTTCCAGATGAGACCTTGCGCAGCGGGGAGCTGCTGAATATGATTGTGGCCGTCATCGACTCCGCACAGGTGAGCGCCCAGCTGTCATCGGAGGCCTGGAGGCGGGACTGGGGAAATGGGGCCTCAGACGGGAAGCCCCTTCCGCTGTGAGCACATTAGGCCGTGGGGTTGGGAAGGACAAAGGAGCCCCAGAGAGGCAGGCCGGGCCGGCAGTCCCGCTGGGGGTCCCCCTTTTCCTCCATATTCTTTGGGTGCTCCTGTTCCATGGCAAAAGCAAAGGATTGGATTTCGCTCTCAACCGGCCTTCCCCGTGACTCAGGATGAAATGGCCACAGCATGTCTGTGTGACCTTTGCACCACGCATAGGTCCCTAAGAGGCTGTAGCTTGGCTTGTGTCCTCTCAGGCCTGAGCTGGCGTCCCATTTCTGTCCCTCCTCGCCGCTCAGCGGCTCCATCCATGAAGGAGGAAGCTTAGCACTCCCGTCCTTCCCTGCTTTTCTCTTCCTCACGCCTGTAATGCTCAGCTCGGCCTCGCGCGGCCGTCCCCTCCTCAGGCACAGGCTGGACTGGGCCAGATGCCCAGCCCGTGGCATGACAGGTGCTTTTCTGTAACTCTCTGCCCCAGCAGGCCTGTGGGTACCACTCAGGCCTGCCGCTGCGCCCCAGGCCCTTTATCCTTCAGAGGCCCCGGCATCCATCACCCGCGGTTTCCTCCCCATCCCTTGAAGCGAGGCTTTCACTTCCCCCGATTTCTCCGCACGCGCCTCCTGCTTCTCGTTCCATGCCAGCCTCCTGGCCTCGTCACAGCCAGTGGGTCTTCCTCCTCCTCCTCAGCTCCAGGAGCTGGTCTGCCATGTGATGATGGGGAACCTGGTCATGTTTCGAAAAGACTCGGTCCTCAACATCCTCAGTAAGTGAGCAACCCGTCGGGTACCCTGGGAGAAGGGGGTGGGGTGGGGGTGGGGCAACCTTGTGGATTTGCTGGAAACAGGAAAGCTGGTTCTGGGGCCGAGCGTGGGGTAGAGCTGCATTGCACCCCGCTGTGCGCTCCTGGGCTGTGTCTCCCCTGATGTGTTTCTCGCTCTGCAAAATGGAAAGACCCCCTTGGCCCTGCAGCCTGAGGGCTGGTGGGACTGCAGAAGCGTGCGAAGGCTTTCGATGTGCTTGGTGTGGAAAGGGACCGTGTCTGTAGGCTCAGGAAGAATCGCCCACTGTACCAGCCCCGCTGTCCCTGCTGGCAGCCAGTGGATCAGCCGTGGGGGGTGGACGGGGGCGG